CACCCCGTAGCCCGTGTCCAGCACCCCGTACCCGTGTCCAGCACCCCGTAGCCCGTGTCCAGCACCCCGTAGCCCGTGTCCAGCACCCCGTAGCCCGTGTCCAGCACCCCGTAGCCCGTGTCCAGCACCCCGTAGCCCGTGTCCAGCACCCCGTAGCCCGTGTCCAGCACCCCGTAGCCCGTGTCCAGCACCCCGTAGCCCGTGTCCAGCACCCCGTAGCCCGTGTCCAGCACCCCGTAGCCCGTGTCCAGCACCCCGTAAGCCCGTGTCCAGCACCCCGTAGCCCGTGTCCAGCACCCCGTAGCCCGTGTCCAGCACCCCGTAGCCCGTGTCCAGCACCCCGTAGCCCGTGTCCAGCACCCCGTAGCCCGTGTCCAGCACCCGTAGCCCGTGTCCAGCACCCCGTAGCCCGTGTCCAGCACCCCGTAGCCCGTGTCCAGCACCCCGTAGCCCGTGTCCAGCACCCCGTAGCCCGTGTCCAGCACCCCGTAGCCGTGTCAGCACCCGTACCGTGTCCAGCACCCGTAGCCCGTGTCCAGCACCCCGTAGCCCGTGTCCAGCACCCGTAGCCCGTGTCCAGCACCCCGTAGCCCGTGTCCAGCACCCCGTAGCCCGTGTCCAGCACCCCGTAGCCCGTGTCCAGCACCCCGTAGCCCGTGTCCAGCACCCCGTAACCCGTATCCAGCACCCCGTAGCCCGTGTCCAGCACCCCGTAGCCCGTGTCCAGCACCCCGTAGCCCGTGTCGAGCACCCCGTAGCCCGTGTCCAGCACCCCGTAGCCCGTGTCCAGCACCCCGTAGCCCGTGTCAGGCACCCCGTAACCCGTGTCCAGCATCCCGTAGCCCGTGTCCAGCACCCCGTAGCCCGTGTCCAGCACCCCGTAGCCCGTGTCCAGCACCCCGTAACCCGTGTCCAGCACCCCGTAGCCCGTGTCCACCCGTAGCCGTCAGCACCCGTAGCCCGTGTCCAGCACCCCGTAGCCCGTGTCCAGCACCCCGTAGCCCGTGTCAGGCACCCCGTAACCCGTGTCCAGCACCCCGTAGCCCGTGTCCAGCACCTCGTAGCCCGTGTCCAGCACCCCGTAGCCCGTGTCCAGCACCCCGTAGCCCATGTCCAGCACCCCGTAGCCCGTGTCCAGCACCCCGTAGCCCGTGTCCAGCACCCCGTAGCCCGTGTCAGGCACCCCGTAACCCGTGTCCAGCACCCCGTAGCCCGTGTCCAGCACCCCGTAGCCCGTGTCCAGCACCCCGTAGCCCGTGTCCAGCACCCCATAGCCCGTGTCCAGCACCCCATAGCCCGTGTCCAGCACCCCATAGCCCGTGTCCAGCACCCCGTAGCCCGTGTCCAGCACCCCATAGCCCGTGTCCAGCACCCCGTAGCCCGTGTCCAGCACCCCGTAGCCCGTGTCCAGCACCCCGTAGCCCGTGTCCAACACCCCGTAGCCCGTGTCCAGCACCCCGTAGCCCGTGTCCAGCACCCCGTAGCCCGTGTCCAGCACCCCGTAGCCCATGTCCAGCACCCCGTAGTCCGTGTCCAGCACCCCGTAGCCCGTGTCCAGCACCCCGTAGCCGTGTCCAGCACCCCGTAGCCCGTGTCCAACACCCCGTAGCCTGTGTCCAGTACCCCGTAGCCCGTGTCCAACACCCCGTAGCCCGTGTCGAGCACCCCGTAGCCCGTGTCGAGCACCCCGTAGCCCGTGTCCAGCACCCCGTAGCCCGTGTCCAACACCCCGTAGCCCGTGTCCAGCACCCCGTAGCCCGTGTCCAACACCCCGTAGCCCGTGTCCAGCACCCTGTAGCCCGTGTCCAGCACCCCGTAACCCATGTCCAGCACCCCGTAGCCCGTGTCCAGCACCCTGTAGCCCGTGTCCAGCACCCCGTAGCCCGTGTCCAGCACCCTGTAGCCCGTGTCCAACACCCCGTAGCCCGTGTCCAGCACCCCGTAGCCCGTGTCCAGCACCCCGTAGCCCGTGTCCAACACCCCGTAGCCCGTGTCAGGCACCCCGTAACCCGTGTCCAGCACCCCGTAGCCCGTGTCTAGCACCCCGTAGCCCGTGTCCAGCACCCCGTAGTCCGTGACTAGCACCACATAGCCTGTGTCCAGCAGTAGGGGCGCCATTGGTACACTAAGGGAAAACACCATAAGTGTCCGGGGCCCAAGACTGTTCAACAGCCTCCCATCAAGCATTAGGGGAATTGCCAATAAACCCCTGGCTGCCTTCAAGAGAGAGCTGGACAGATACTCCGGATCAGCCGGGCTGTGGCTCGTACGTTGGACTGCGTGCGGCCAGCAGTAACAGCCTAGTTGATCAGGCCCTGATCCATCGGGAGGCCTGGTCATGGACCGGGCCGCGGGGGCGTTGATCCCCGGAATAACCTCCAGGTAACCTCCAGGTAGCACCACATAGTCCGTGACTAACACCACATAGCCCTTGTCCAGCGCCCTATAGCCCGTGTCCAGCACGGGGATTCTCCTTCAGGAGTACCTGAGTTTCCGAAAAAAAATCCTGACCTTAGGAAGTGAAGAGAACCTCTTTGAAGACCCCTGATTGCCTCTCCTTCCCCAGATATGAAGCGCCAAGTCATGGTAATTAATGCTTGGACTCCCATGAAACCTTACCTATGGTTTCGTATTTCTGTGGCCAGAAATCGTTGAAGCAGTGGAGAGATAAAGAGCTTGGTTAAAGGAAGGGTTTAAAGTCTGTCTACTACACGAATCATCTCACGGTCCATAGTGTGCTAAAGACCTCTTGAAGACCCCTAGGGGTGTTAAACACAGCCAGAGGTGTTGAAGAGAGCCAGAGGTGAAGACAGCCAGGGGTATTGAAGACAGCCAGAGGTGTTGAAGACAGCCAGGGGTATTGAAGAAAGCCAGGGGTGTTGAAGACAGCCAGGAGTGTTGAAGACAGCCAGGAGTGTTGAAGACAGCCAGAGGTGTTGAAGACAGCCAGGGGTATTGAAGAAAGCCAGGGGTGTTGAAGACAGCCAGAGGTGTTGAAGACAGCCAGAGGTGTTGAAGACAGCCAGGGGTGTTGAAGACAGCCAGGAGTGTTGAAGACAGCCAGGGGTATTGAAGAAAGCCAGGGGTGTTGAAGACAGCCAGGGTGTTGAAGACAGCCAGGGTGTTGAAGACAGCCAGAGGTGTTGAAGACAGCCAGGGGTTGAAGAAGCCAGGGGTATTGAAGAAAGCCAGGGGTGTTGAAGACAGCCAGAGGTGTTGAAGACAGCCAGAGGTGTTGAAGACAGCCAGAGTGTTGAAGACAGCCAGGGGTATTGAAGAAAGCCAGGGGTGTTGAAGACAGCCAGAGGTGTTGAAGACAGCCAGAGGTGTTGAAGACAGCCAGGAGTGTTGAAGACAGCCAGGGGTATTGAAGACAGCCAGGGGTGTTGAAGACAGCCAGAGGTGTTGAAGACAGCCAGAGGTGTTGAAGACAGCCAGGGGTGTTGAAGACAGCCAGGAGTGTTGAAGACAGCCAGGGGTATTGAAGACAGCCAGGGGTGTTGAAGACAGCCAGAGGTGTTGAAGACAGCCAGGGGTGTTGAAGATAGCCAGAGGTTTTGAAGGCAGCCATGGGTCTTGAAGACAGCCAGGGGGTCTATTGGTAATCCCAATTTTATATGATAGGAGGCAGTTGGACAGTCTTGGGCCCCTGACACTTATTGTGTTGTTTCTTAGCGTACTCATGGCGCCCCTGCTTTTCATTGCGAAGATGTTGCACAGTCTGCCCAGTCTTTTGCTTTCGTAGGGAGTGATTTCTGTGTGCAGATTTGGGAATAGTCCCTCCTGGATTTTCCCTGTGTATATGATTAAGTATTTTTCATACCTATGTTGCAGGGAGTACAGGTCAAGGGACATGAAAGTTCCCAGTAATTAAAGTGCTTGACTGAACTTATATATGCAGTGAAAGTTCTCGGTATATTCTCCAGGTCAACAGTTTCACTGTCTTGAAAATGGCTGTTAGTGTACAGCAGTATTCCAGCCTAGAGAGAACAAATGCCTTAAAGAAGATCATCATTGGCTTGGCATCCCTTGTTTTGAAGGTTCCCATTATCCTTCCTATCATTCCCTAGCAGTTGTGATCCTTCACATTATCATTCCCAAGACCTTCACATTATATTTTTGCTATAATGAGTGTGGCTCGAGTTAGTCTTATACCACATTCTTGTTTATATTTCCCCATTTTCCTAAAACACTAACTCAAACTTGTCTTCCTTAAATATCATATCGTCACTACATGACAGTGTTGACAGTGGCCCACTGGATGTATACTGTGCCCTCAGTGGCCCACTGGAGGTATAATGTGTCCTCAGTGGCCCACTAGAGGTATACTGTGCCCTCAGTGGCCCACTGGAGGTATACTGTGCCTTTAATGACCCACTGGAGGTATATTGTGTCCTCAGTGGCCCACTGAAGGCATACTGTGCCCTCAGGTCCCACTGGAGGTATACTATGCCCTTGGTGTCCCACTGGAGGTATACTGTGCCCTTAGTGTCCCACTGGAGGTACACTGTGCCCTAGTAATGACATATAAAGATGAAGCAACCACTCAGCAGAGTAGATCTCTGGGTCCAAGGTGGAATTGTTCTTACCGCATCTTAGAGAAAATGGGACCAGTAAATATACAGGTTAAGGGTTGTTTGAGAACCAGAGTGAGAGGATTGTTCATGGTAATAAACTAAAGCCATTCTGGTCTGAGGAGGGACTATTAATGATAATGGGGTGGATGAAAGGACTGTAAATAATGAGGTATATGATGAAGATAGTTTAAATCAGATGGTAGAGGAATATGTGGGTGTGAATACAAGGTCAAGAACGTATAGACAAAATTTGAAAGGGAATTATTTCTGGAGGGAGGGAATGTTGTGAGTAAATGGGACCCTGAGAGAAGGAGCTGACCACTCTCCTCGCCCTCAGGTCGGCTCAGTACTCTAGACACCTGTCTACCACCAGTAAGACCCAGTCACCTGTACAACAATACTGTCGCCTACTATTATTCACAGGAGATGCGGAGATGTTGCCAGGACCTGCCAAGGAGACACCGGGAATCTATGTGGACTGGAGTGATGGAGATGCAGAAGTGCTAGGGTCGGCCGGAAGCCCTGGCTAGCCCCTCCTCTAGTAGAAGCAGTAGACAGATCTGGAGGTGAGATGGGAAGAATACTGCAGTATAGCACAAGGGCCCCTATGTCCTCCGTCGACTCCTTCATATTTCTGCCGCCCTTGTCCAAGGATTTGTAGAGAGCTTTATCCTGGGTCAATAGCCTGACCCCAGTTAAGCCAATCGCGACCTTTACTGCTAGTCAGTGAAACTTGGGAAATGATGAATGGAGTGGTCACCTCTTTTACGTATGGTATCTCTAGTGTCAGGGGATGATCTATTTTATGTCAACTGTTGGGAGATACATGTATATGTGTTTTATATTATGTGAGCTAGTTCCTTGCTGAGAGTGATCATCGTACAGATAGGATGTATTTCCTTTTCAGGTGGAGAACTGTAAACATCGGCTCGCCGTCGGAAGAGGATTCGTTTATGTGAGGGATGCGAGGTTTTTGTAGTTCCGAGAAATAGGATAACGATGTGCCCTGGTTGCGATTCCTGCCTTGTCGCGAATTGTAGCGGAAGGGTGCAAGAAAAATGCAGACCAGAGGCCTAGCTTCTCCCTACTAGCCCCATGAGGGCGGGGAATGGGGCTAGGCCTGGGGACAGTTGGTTCCAGAAGATGAGGAGGTACTTGTACCTCCTCCCATAGCAGACATAGGTCTCAGATATTGCCAAGACAGGGAGCCAATCTGGGTCACCATCTGGAAAAGACCCGGGCCGGGAGAGTACCGGCGAATCAAGAAGAATAAGAAGAATAAAGAAGGTTAGAGATAGAGAGAGAGAGATTGGGGCAGAATTAATGGCTGTGCTAGGCCGGTGAGCGGAAACCCTGGACAGCCGAGTGTGTAGGGGCCACGCAGGGCGAATCTCGGGCTGGTGAATTAAGTGTGAGTATAAGTCCATGTTACTGATAGCATCTCTCCACCTCCCCCTGGTAGTAACTCTCAGAGGTTGATTATTATACTGTGTAATTCTCTGTAAGAATATGTTGTATTCTCACTCTTTATTTTATTAAATAAACTAGAGCCATAGTTAGTATTTTTATTTGTATCCTATTATAATCTTCCCTGCTGTTAAGCACTGGGATAACACAGGAGACTTGCTCACTTCTGGGATACCACAAGCAGAGTGGGTAAAGTTCTCACATCCTCAGTGGCCCACTGGAGGTATGCTATGCCTCAGTGGCCCACTGGAGGTATACTATGCCTCAGTGGCCCACTGGAGGTATACTGTGCCCTCAGTATCCCACTGAAGGTATACTTTGTTCTCAGTGTCCCTCTGGAGGTATACTGTGTCCTCAGGGGCCCACTGGAGGTATACTGTGTCCTCAGTGATCCACTGGAGGTATACTATGCCCTCAGTGTCCCACTGGAGGTATACTGTGTCCTCAGTGTCGTACTGGAGGTATACTGTGTCCTCAGTGTCTTACTGGAGGTATACTGTGTCCTCAGTGATCCACTGGAGGTATACTATGCCCTCAGTGTCCCACTGGAGGTATACTGTGTCCTCAGTGTCGTACTGGAGGTATACTGTGTCCTCAGTGTCTTACTGGAGGTATACTGTGTCCTCAGTGTCCCACTGGAGGAATACTGTGTCCTCAGTGTCCCACTGAAGGTATACTGTGTCCTCAGTGTCCCATTGGAGGTATACTGTGTCCTCAGTGACCAACTGCAGGTATACTGTGTCCTCATGGGCCCACTGGAGGTATATTGTGTCCTCAGTGTCCCACTGGAGGTATACTCTGCCCTCAGTGTCCCACTGGAGGTATTCTCTGTCCTCAGTGTTTTACTGGAGGTATACTGTGTCCTCAGTGTCCCAGTGGAGGTATACTGCGTACTCAGTGTCCCAGTGAAGGTATACTGTGTCCTCAGTGTCCCAGTGGAGGTATACTGTGTCCTCAGTGTCCCACTGGAGGTATACTGTGTCCTCAGTGTCCCACTGGAGGTATACTGTGTCCTCAGTGTCTCACTGGAGGTATACTGTGTCCTCAGTGTTCCACTGGAGGTATACTGTGTCCTCAGTGTCCCACTGGAGGTATACTGTGTCCTCGGTGTCCCACTGGAGGTATACTGTGTCCTCTGTCCCACTGCAGGTATACTGTGTCCTCAGGGGCCCACTGGAGGTATATTGTGTCTTCAGTGTCCCACTGGAGGTATACTGTCCTCAGGGGCCCACTGGAGGTATACTGTGTCCTCAATGATCCACTGGAGGTATACTATGCCCTCAGTGGCCCAGTGCAGATATACTGTGTCATCGTTGGTCCACTAGAGGTATACTGTACCGTCAAATACCCACTGGAGATATACTGTCCTCAGTGGCCCACTGGATGTATACCATGCCCTCATTGGCCCACTGGATGTATACTATGCCTTCAGTGGCCCACAGGAGGTATACTGTGCCCTCAGTGGCCCATAGGAGGTATACTGTGCCCTCAGTGTCCCACTGGAAGTATACTGTGTCCTCAGTGGCCCACTGGAGGCATACTGGGTTCTCAGTGGCCCGCTGGAGGTATACTGTGTCCTCAGTGGCCCACTGGAGGCATACTGTGTTCTCAGTGGCCCACTGGAGGTATACTGTGTCGTCAGTGGCCCACTGGAGGTGTATTGTGCCCAGTGGCCCACTGGAGGTATACTGTCCTCAGTGTCCCACTGCAGGCATACTAAGTCCTTAGTGGACCACTGGCTGTGTACTATGCCCTCAGTGTCCCACTGTAGGTATACTATGCCCTCAGTGGCCCACTGGAGGTATCATGTGCCCTCAGTGGCCCACTGGAGGTATACTGTATATCTCCAGTGGTCCACTGGAGGTATGAAATGTCCTCAGTGGCCCACTGGACGTATACCATGCCCTCAGTGGCCCACTGGATGTATACTATGCCCTCAGTGGCCCACTGGACGTATACCATGCCCTCAGTGGCCCACTGGATGTATACTATGCCCTCAGTGGACCACTGGAGGTATACTGTGCCCTCAGTGGCCCACTGTAGGTACACTGTGCCCTCAGTGGCCCACTGTAGGTATACTGTGCCCTCAGTGTCCCGCTGGTGTAAAGGCAGCTTTGTCATGTTTAGAAGCTTAGCGCTTAGGTTTTATAATAATAATAATAATTATGTTTACAATCATTAATTATGATCAATAACGCAAAAAAAAACAGAAGTAGTGAGCAACAGCAGATCATAAGAGAAGGTTACTGTGTTGACCAACCATTATGACGTCAACGAAAACAAAAAACAACCAATCAGCATTCACCTTACAAGTCCTTCAGGTACTCATACTGCTAGATGTGTCTTAAATAGTAACCAAAAGCAACCAATCAGCATTCACCTTACAAGACCTTTAGGTACTCATGCTGCTACATGTTTCATAAACCATAACGAAAAACAACCAATTAGCAGCCACTTTATAAGTCCTTTAGGTACTCATGGTGCTAGTGTACTTTACCTTTACTGTGATTGGCTATAATGCTAGATGTAAACAAAGAGTTTCTACCAATGAAATGCGAGTTTTTGAGTGACGTCACGTGGGAGTTGTTCAGCTCAGCAACCTTCTCTTACGACTTGCTGTTGATCATCTTACGACTTGCTGTTGATCATCTTAGTGACAAATTCTCTCACTAGATGGCACTCCATAAAAAATACACAGAAATTAAATATTTTTCTTTCCTTTCAATTAATTCGCTAAATTATATTTTCTCTTGTAGATGGAGGATTGAAATATCTGAGTTGTCTTATTTAGATGCAATTAACATATATATTATATATATATAATATATTATATATATTATATATATATATATATATATATATATATATATATTATATATATATATGTATTATATACATATATATATATATATATATATATATATATTATACAACATGAAAAAAGTTCTGGTATTAATAATAATTGTTGTTTAATTATTATTTTGTTGTTGAACATTTTATAAAAAAATGTAAAAAAAATGAAAACAAATTTCACTTTATGTTGTCTAATTTATTATTTTCACCGTTTTTATGGACGGGAAATTTCAGTTACATTACCAGTTTTTCAATCTATATATCTTTTTATTTTTTGCAGTAGTTGTTTTTATCTATCATTTAATTGATTTTTCTTTATATATTGTCTATATCAGTATTTTTTCCCCAGTATCTTTTATATAAAATATATATATATATAATATTATATATATATATATATATTTATATTTATATTTTTTATAATATATTAATATCAAAAAAAACACAAAACAAAAAGGGTTTAAATTTTGTGTATTTTTTATGGAGTCCCATCTAGTGAGAAAATTTGTCACTAAATTTAACAGAAGTCATAGGAAGGTTGAAGTTTAAAAAACTCCCAGTGACTAAAACCCTTACATTTCATGGTAGAAACCGTTAGCATTATAGCCAACACGTGGTGTAAAATAAGACACGATTGCAAAAAAAACCATACCGGGGCGGGATTAAACCCCGCGGCAAGAGTCTAAAAACCCCAGCCCGTACGTTAGCCATAGACCAGCTGCTGGGGGGAAATTTTTTGGACTTCTGATCGCGGGCAATCCGGCCGGGGGTGTGGGTGTAAAGTCTTAGGTAGGTACTCTAAAGTACTCTACCAAAAGGGACTTGTAAGGTCGCTGTGTTGGTTGTTTTTTGTTATTTTTGAGTCACAATGGTTGGTAAACCCCCGAAACCCTTTCTCTTAGACTTGCGGGTTGATTATTTGTGACAAATTTCTCACAGATGGAAAAACATTAAATATGCAGAAAATTTGACAAAGCTTCTTCGTCTTTAACAAAAATGGATCATTTTATTTCCTTTAAAATTAATTCACAAAAGTAAATAATGTTCTTTTTTATAGAGGGAAAGATTGAAATACCCGAGTTGTCTTATTTGAGATTTTTTTATTATCGTTAGCTATTTATGTTATCAAATATTTCTTTAATTTTTATTTCTATTCTCTACCCCGGGTGTCTATGTCAGTCTGCATGTATCGTTATAAAAATTTTTTATATTTTTCTTTTTTGTTAGAGCTATTTTAACTATCTCTTATCATTAATTTTTCATTCATATCTATGCAAGTATAAATGTTAATTATCTATTGGCTAGTCCTTTTTATAAGTAAAGATGATCAACAACAAGTATAGTGAGGTTGCAACGTTGAACAACTGCCATGGACGTCACTAAAAAAACTCTCATTTCTTGGAGAAACTTTTTTTAAATCTACCCTTTTATAGCCAAAATCAAATGAGGGAAAAGTACTCTAGCAACAGAGTGCCTAAAGGACTTTTAAAGTGGATGTGTTTTGGTTTTGTCTTTGGTTAGGGTTTTTGTGACATGTACCAGCAAGAGTAAAAAAGAGTTGTAAGGTAAATGTGTTTGGTTTTTTTTTTGGTTATTGGCATACAATGGTTTGTCAAACGAAAACCTTCTCTTATGATTATGTTCCCTAAATACTTCTGTTTAGTGCATTATAAAAAATTATTGTAACAAAAATAAGCAAATAAACATGACAAAAAATGCCATTACACCATTGAGGGCCAATATAAATAGTGGCCCCTGGAGGTACACTGTCTTCGTGGCCCATTGGAGGTTACTGTGTCCTAGTGGCCCATGGGGATACTGTGCCCCTTTGTTGTTCATGGGGGTATCTGTTCTCAGTGGCTTGGAGGTATACTGTGCCCCCAGTGATCACTGGAGGTGTACTGTGCCCCCGTGGCCCCCTGGGGTATTTTCCGTGCCCTCAGTGGGCCCACTGGGGTTTTAAGTGCCCCCTGAGGTACATGGTGCCCCCAGTGGCCCCACTGGGGTATACTGTGCCCCCAGTGGCCCACGGAGGTTTTATGTGCCCTCAGTGGCCCCCTGGAGGTATACTGTGTCCTAGGGCCACTGGATGTTAGTGCCCCCACTGGAAGTATTTTCTGTGCCTCAGGGCCCCCTGGAGGTTTTATGTGCCTCAGTGGCCCCCCT